CTCAGGAAAGCTTCACGTACCTCTCTATGAAGCCCACAGCCTCGTGCACCATCCTCTGTGTCATGTTTTCAGACTTGTATGGCTGCTCCACAATGCTGTGGTCCCTCAGGAGGACACAGTTTAAGTATGGGACAGCCATGATGAACGCTACTACCACACCAGTGACCGAAAGCAACAGAAACATGAAGCTCAGGATGGACCTCCTGCCGATGACCCCCCTGTAGTGCAGCACGACTGCAGTGAGCAGAACGATGCCCATTGTTCTGTATGGCAAATGTTTATGGAACTGGAAAACGGTGCCGTGTCCAGGCTGGCAGTCCCGCAGGTTCGTCAGAGGGATACCGAAGAAATAACTGAAGCCGTGGTTGTTAGGGTGGTGGCAGTGATCGCCGCGGCTCTTACAGTTCAGGCCCAGGTGCCATTTTCCTGCAGACAAGAAGAAGAAACAAAAACTCAGAAAGTAGAAACCCGTACATTACATCACATTTAAAACTGTACTTAATAGACTGGCGCTTACACAGCACCTTCCTGCTGTCTGCATTCATACACCAGCTTTTTTAACCGTGTGTTCACACACTCACAGGCACTGGGGTCAACTCAGGGTTCAGCATCTACCTCAGGATACCTCAAGACAGAGCCCAGGGGATCTGGGGCATTCACCACTTCTCTCCTTAACCTGGCTTCAACCAGTCTTTCCCACAGTGTCCTTCATGGTGTGGCTCATCAGCATTAAAGCTCTGCAGTTACAACATCTGTGCACACCACCCTTCTTCTTCAAAACTCTCCATTCCTCAGGCATCTTCTCTGTGACTGTTCAACAGTCAAAGGTCCACTGCCCCGTCTCCTACACATCTCCAACCACCTTTTCACTCTTCACACACCTTCATAGCTGCCCTCACCTCCTCCTTTCTTAACCTCTGCACTTCCATCCTGTTTGCAAAATCCACACCGTCGGTGCTTCAGCATTTCTCTCCTTCAATTCAATTCAGTTTTATTTATAAAGCACCAAATCACATCAGTTGCTT